TTCTTTTTATTGAAAAAGCAATTTACTTATATACTATACGTATTATTAGTTCGTGAGTATTTAGAGCTATGATAACTATTTTTAAAAATTTTAAAAGAAAACGAAACAACTCTAACAATTCATCTTCATAATTATAAATTACCAGTTTGTAAGCATTAAAGTCATAAACGCTTTTAAAATCAAAATTCTAATTCTAAGAATAATTATTACTAGACAGTAAGTTTGTTTAATTTAATAAACATTTTTAAAATCAAATTTATCGAAAATTTGAAAATGAATAATTCATATGCATTTTATATTATCAGTTTGTGAGTATTTGTAACAAAAAATAATTATGGTGACAGTCATCGAGACCAGAACGATTATTTAATGTAATTAGAACAGAATGCACCAAGGTTACTACTATTATTATGGTCAGGATTAGAATCAAATTAGAAATGTAGTAGAATTTTTTGCAAGTATACGAAGGATGGATTCATAAGCAGATATTAGTGGCTATTCGACTTTTGCGAGTTCCGATCTAATTAACGTTAATCGATCCGTTCTGATATACACGGTGACAGATTTTTTCAACCTTTTAAATAAAAACTTTTATTAATTATAAACAATTTATGTCAAATTGCTAGATTGTGAGTATTTAAAAACAAACATCTGCTGAATATATATTTCATAATTCAAGTGCAAAACTTTAAGCAACATAACTGCATATTAACAGCGAGTGAGTACTTAAAATCATGCACATTTTTTAAATTAATTTATTAAATTTTAAAGGACAACATTTTTAAACAAACTATGTATATATTATTAGCGCGTGGGTATTTCAGAGTTATAAGCATTTTAGCCTAAAGCGAATAAGAACTCTAATTAATCTAAATATATACATAATAATACTAGAATGTAAGTACTTTAAAACATTACTTTTATTAATATTTGCTAATTCAAATAATTTACAAATATATATATATAGTGAGTAAGTATTATATGTGAATTTAAAATCACGCTTTAAAAATCAAATTTTCAATATTTTAAATCAATAATTCTAGTCGGTGAGTATTCAAAGTTAAATAAAAATCTTTTTAATTCAGAAAATTAACAACAATTTACTTTATATTATTCAAATTGTGCATACTGTGTGTAAGAATTATGTAAGTACTGCTTTAGAATTACAAATATAATTAAAGATAATTTAACAATTGCATAATTTGTATATGCTATTATTAGGGGGTAATTATAATCTCTTTAAATTCACTTTAATTAAAAACAAATAATAACCAACCAATTTACACATTATTAGAGAGTATGTATTTAATATCATAAATATTTTTTACTAAACTTTTCTTTAACTAATGCTATAAAATATATATACATTACTAGGAAGTGAGTATTTAGATCATAAATATTTCGAGTTTAGTATTCTACAGTAATTGGATACAAATAACGCAATCTGCACAAATATCATTAGAGAGTGAGTATTTAATAATAAAATCGCTTTAGAAACAATAACAACATTTTATATATGTGTAAAATTGCAGTGGGTGAGTATTTAGTCTTGTACATTTTTTTGCAATATAAAATACTAATATTATTCATATAATTACAATCACATTATTAGCGGGTGGGTATTACAGTATTTAAGATAGACTTATTTTAAAATATGAATTCATAAATAATAATTTGCAACATATTTAATTATCAGCCTGTAAGTATTTAAAGTTATATTTAAAACTAGAACCAACTTTTAAATGCAAATTTTAATTATTTAAATGCTTTATTATTAGCTCGTAAGTATTTGAAGTTAAATTTAAAAGGCAATTAACAAGTTCTTAACAACTATACGTTATGTTAGGTGGTGAGTATCTATAGAATTAAATGTTAAGAATATAATTGCCATAAATTCTAATTTTAAATGCATATTATTAGGAAGTGAGTATATGAAGTTACAAATACTATAAAAATAAATCTATTTAAAACTTAATATTTACAATTAATATTATTAGTTAGTAAGTATTTATTAGACTATAAAAACTTCTAAAAAAAAGTTCCAATTAGAAGCAATAATGCATTCTTAAATAATTATTTATTAATATACGCTAAATTATTAGTGAGTAAGTATCCTGTATTTATATTTAGATTTTTTTAAAAAATTGTAATTAGTGTTATTTCAAATTTTAAATAACATTATACATTAATAGAAGTAAGTATTCTATGTTAAACTCTTAAAAATTTGAGGTTACAATTATGTTTAACAATATACATTTATAATTACCATAGAATGGAGTAAGTTTTTAGAGTAATTAATTTTAAATTAAATTTTCTTAATACATAACTAAAATTTTAAACAATTTACACGTTATTAGATAAGTTATGTCTTTAAATTTTTGCTAATTCAAAGCACAAATCAAAACACTATAATTCAAATATACCAATATAATAATATTATTAGGGAGTAAGTATTGGAGATTATAAGTAGCTCAAATTCAAAACATAAGCAAATCTATATTTATATATTTATATTAAACAATTTATTAGAAAGTGAGTAGGACTACAAATATTTAAAAATTTTTAAATAAGAAACTTATACATAAATTGCTATATTAGATCGTAAGAATTTGGAATTAAATGCATTTTAAAAAATATTTTTAATTTAAAAAGAATAACGTTAATAATATCATATATATTTAAAATATTAGCTCGTTAGTATATATAATTTATAAAGTTAAATCTTTTAAACAAATAATATTTCTTTAATTTAAACAAACCTAAACTCATATTTATATTAGAAAGTAAGTAGTGCTATAACTATTTAAAATTTTTTAAATATTTACTTATATATAATTTTTTATTAGGTCGTAAGTATTTGGACCTATATACATTTTAATTTTATTTTAATTTAAAAAGAATGACCTTTATATTAATGCATACATTTAAATTATAGCTTGTTAGTATCATAATCGTGACGTTAAAAATATCCAATAATAGGATTTTAACTAATTACATATATAATTATTAGAGAGTAAAGTATCTAATTAAATTTTTTATAATCAAGTTATTTTAATTTAAAAATAACAACTACTTAAACAACTTTATCTTTACACAAAATACTAGAATGTAAGTAACAAATATTTTTTTAAAATTAAATTTTTGTTTACTTAAAAACAGCATTAAGCAGTTAATCCATCTCAATTACTAGCTTGTAAGAAATTAGTATAAATTTTGGGCAACATCTGAAACAAATATACGATTTTTAATTATTTATTTAAATATTCTATATATTATTAGAATGTAAGTAGTTAAATGCTTAACCGTTTTTAGTATTAAAATTTTCTTTATAATACAGCCTTATATATGTTTAAATAGAGAGTGGGTATTTTAGGCTATAAATATTTATAATTTTTGTTAATTTAAAAGCAATCAATAATTTATATATTTTATTAGTGGGTAAGTACTTAAAGTATAAATGTTTTAAGTTAAAAGAAATAATTCTAAGCAATTTACATACTTTTTCAACACTTTTCAGCATGTGAGTAAAAATTAAAGTTATTTTTTTTAGTTAAAAAAAATTACACATTACTAAATGATAAATATACATTATTAGAAGGTAAACATTTAAAGCATATTTTTAAGTAAACTTAGCGAATTAGATAAAAAATAATAAAATATATCTTTAGGAAGTATGTGTTTTTTATTATTAATTTTTAAGTTGAAATATTTGAATATAACAAATAATTCATATTTAATATTAATTATAAAAATGCAGTCTGTAAGTATTTAGAATCAAATATTTTAAGTCAACGTTCTTTTTTAAACTAACGTATTACTAAATAATTCTATGAAATATTAAAAGAGGGTAAGTATTAAGGTCTTTAATATCTGAAATTTTTTTTAAATTAAAGTGTGATAATTCAACTTCAAATAATTTATGCAAAAACTCTCAGCTTGTAAGTATCTAAATATTTTGAAAAAGTTCTTACTAAATTAAAATAACACATATACATTGTCATTAGTCAGTGAGTATTGAGGTTTAAAGATTTTTTAAATCTAAAGTTCTTTCTATCCAAACAACATTAAATAATCCACTTGCCTGTATCATTAGAGAGTGAGTATTTATGTTTATACCCTTTTTTATAACTATTTCAGTTTATTAAATATATAATGCTAATTGTACTTATAGTGCGTAAGTAATTGGAAGTATAACATTTTTTTGGCTCAATAATGATAAATAATAAATTGAACGATCTACACAAAATTATTAGTCTGTAAGTAGAATCATGAGTATTTTAAAGATCTATTCTCTTTAAAACTAACATTTTTAATATCGTATATATGTATAAAAATTGCAAGTTTGTAAGTATTATATTTAAAAAAATAAATTATAAAAATATAATTTCATTTTTGTTGGAAAATATTTATAATATTTTACAATTATCAGTCTGTAAGTATTTAAAACTGAGCTTTTTGTCAAAACTTTAATTCTAAAAAATAAATTATTATTGTATAAATGATTACATGCTATGTTATTTAGAGCGTAAGTATTTAGAATCAACATTTTATCATAATTCAAAATAATTTTTAAAAACCGTATATTTAAACCACACATTAGCTCGTGAGTATTCAGAATATTTGAACTTATATAAACATTGTAAGATCAAATCCTACAACAAATAATAGTTATTCACATACATGCATGTTTTAAATTATTAGAAAGTAAGTTATGAAACTTTGAAATTAAAATTTAAAGAATAATATTATATAAACTAACATATATAAAAGTACTAGCAGGTGAGAATTTAGAACTATAAATGTTAGTAAAGATTCTTCTGATCTAAAAATTCTTAAATAATTAACATACCATTTCACAATAATACTAGTTCGTGAGTATTAAATATTAAAATTTTTAATCGAAATTTCGCTTAAAAACATAACACATAATACGTATATTTCATGCAAAATATTAGGTTGTGAGTATATTTTAAAATCGAATTTCTTTTGATTCCAAAACAATGATACAAGTTAAACAATATAAATATGACTATTTTATAGTAGGTGAGTATTTAGAACAATAATGATAATATTCACTTTAAATCACAGAATTAAACTTCAATCGCATATATTTTTAGCTCGTAAGAATTTTCAAATCCTTCAAAACAATCTTTTATTAATTCAAAAAATAAACAATAACTATAAACCTACTATATTATTAGTCTGTGAGTATTCACATACAAGCAGCATTTTTACAATTAAAATTAAAATAAAAATTCTAAATGACCGCTTATATTACAGTCTTAATTCGTGAGTATTATGTTATATTTTGTTAAATTTAAAGTCATGCATTTCTAAATAATTTGCATAAAATTATTAGTTCGTGAGTATTCAAAATCAATTTTATATCAAAAATTTCCGATTTTAATGCAATTATATATAACTAAAACCCATATTCATCATTAGTGGAGTGTGAGTATTTTTGTAAAATCATATTCTCTTTGAGTAACAATCCTAATCGATTCATATATACGTATCATTAGAAATTTAGAAAATTTAGAGTAATACTTTCAAATTAAACTTTTTAAATAACGCAATTCGCATCAGTATTAACACTGTATTATTAGTGGGTGAGTAGAATTAAAATTCTTGCAAGCTTTCCAGACATTCATAACAACATAATCTAATCAATCTATAACGTATACATTGTAGTATTATTGAGGAGTGAGTATTAGAGTAAACCATTTAAAAACCAGAATACTTTTAACTCACACATATATATTCTATATTACTAGGAAGTGAGTATTAAGGTCAAATGTTTTTAAATAAAATTCACATTTAAATAATTTTCATTTGTAATCACAATTAGCCTGTGAGTATTCGAAGTTATAAACAAACAAAACTTTTTGGTTAACTCATAATAACACACGCAAACAAATTACCAGCCCGTAAGTACGAAGAATATTCATTTTCTTAATTCAAACAAACACTCTAAATAACCAATATATATACATACTTGTTTTGCAAGCATGTGAGTATTTAAGATGTAGTTATAGTGGAAAACTTCTCAAAACATGTAATAATTTAAAAAATTTATACATCTACGGCCAGCTTGTGAGTCAAGAATTTATAATAATCTTCTAATTCGACACTGAAATTCCAAATAACTCACATATATGCATAATATTATTAGGAAGTAAGTTCTCAAAATTATTATTATTATTATTAAATAAATTTTCTAAATAACTTTTATAATATATACATATTATTAGGGAGTAAGTATTTGATGCAGTAGACTCTTTCAACAATTAAAACATTCATGATCCAAATAACTCAGATACGCATGCAATTATACTTTTAGCAAGTGAGTGCTTTATTTAGAATCATAAACATGTAAAATCAAAATTTTACTAACTATATAACAAATATATAATAAAATATAGCATTAGGTATTGAGTTGAGTTAAACCTATTTCTTTTAAAATTGTATTTTCTTTTTTATTAATTCGAAACAAATAATACAAATTTTAAGGGTGTAAGTATTTTAAGTTATAAACATTCGTGAAGCCAATTTTTATTAACTTAAACAAACATTAACAACCAACTTTCAAATTTTTAGATCGTGAGTATCTAGTCAATGTGTTCGATACCAACTTTTTTTCTTCAGCTATACCAATTTATACTGTACATTCATAACTAGCTTGTGAGTATTTAAGTGTTTAACGTTGTTAAATATAAATAAATTTAACAACACATTCTAAATAATCCAACACATTATTTTTTTTATTAGGAGGTGAATTTTTTAAGCTAAAAATTCTCACTAATTCATAAGCAACTAAAAAACACACATATATAAACCATTTTAGCAAGTTAGTATTAGAATATTAAATTTTCATAAATCAAAGTTTTATTACTTTGAATTCGGATATAACTTTTAAATTATTTTAATACATTAGGACGTGAGTATTTAATTTCAAACACTTAAGACAAAATTTCTTTGATCTAAAATAACTCAAACAACACGTAAACCAACTATTAGTTTGTGAGTATTAGAGTATATAAAACTTCATCAAAAGCAAATAACAGCTCTAATCAAATCACATACGGATAGGGAGTAAGTATTTAAATTATAACTTTTTAAGTCAAATTTCCACTCTAATAATATGTATGTATATCTTATTAGAAAGTAAGTACTTAGCTTTTTAGTCGAAGCTTGTTCAGTAGAAACAATAAATAACTGACCAATTTATAATTATTACAAGACTGTAAGTATTTAGTTATAAACGCTTCTAAATTATAATTTTCATTATCTTAAAAGCAAATGATATAACTCAATCTATGTTATTACTAGCTTGTGAGTATTTAAATCAAACTATAATTTAGTTCAAAAGCAAAATTAAATATTTAAAATAACTACATTTTATCAGTCCGTGAGTATAAAGCTACAAACGTTTTTAATAATAAAGAAATAATATTAAATAACACTATTCAATAGGCGGTGAGTTATAATTGTGAATATTCTAATTACATAACTCTAAAATATTCAATTAATTACATACCTATACACATCATACTTTTAGTGCGTAAGTATTTAAGTTGTAAATAATTTTAAATTTAATTTTAACCTAAACAATTCTGAACAATCTTATATTCCCTACATTACCAGTGAGTGAGTATTTAAAATTATAAATTATAAGTTTTTTAATTTATAACCAACAATTCTTAACAATTTACATATTTTATTAGTGAGTAAGTTTTAGCTAGTCATAAAGTATTTTAAAGTCATTCTAAACTTACAAACAATAATGATAAAATTAGGATGTGAGTGTTCATCTATTTTTATTACAAAGTTTTCTTTGATTCAAAAAAATGACACACCACACCAATTATAACATATATATGTACATAATAACAGTGTGTGAGTATTCAACCTGGATATAGAAAACTCTTTAATACAAATCTAATCTATGTTGTGATATTTCTAGAAAGTGAGTATCCTCAATGTAAAAGTTAAAATTTCTTTTTTAAATTAACAATTCAAAAATTCTACATATATACTATTAGCAAGTGAGTATTTAAAATAAAGTAAAAAGAGTTAACTAAAAGTACACCAGTGGTGTTTGACAATGCTAAGTAAAAACGTTTCAAATATCTTAACCATAATTAATCCAAAATGTACCATAAACTGCTGACTTACATAATGTATCCAGAGGTTAAATTTTTCATATTCATTGTTAATATACAAAGTTTACATTAAAAATCAGTCTTTTGTATTATAGACAATATCGATTGGCAATGAAAATTGAAAATACCCAATAGTTATCGCAAATAGTTAGCAGTTTACAGTAGTAGCAAAAAAAAAATATGTGGGATAAACTACCATTGGTGTGCAATAGTAAAATTCCAAAAAATCAAAAATTTACTAATTTAAAAAAAAAACAAAAAAAAATCTGCATATGAATGCGCATAATATTATTAGTGCGTGAGTATTGTATTTATGATTAGCTTAAAATTAACGCACTATTAACAATCACTTTCAATTATAAAATCACTAGCCGGTTGGTATTTAAAAGAAAAAAAAACATTAACAATGATAATTCGCAACTTTAATCAATTTAAATGTACACGAAATTACAGAAACATTAGTCGGTAAATATCTAAATAATATTAATTAAATTTCTAATTGGAAAATATATAATGTGACTAATACAACATTATTAGAGAGTAAGTATTTAGAATTGTGAATACTTCAAAGTTAAAATTTAATTAATAATTAAATATACATATTATCAGGGAGTGAGTATTTAATTTAATTCACCGATTCGAATTTAAATTTAAAATGAATAACCTTAAATAATAACCATGCGCATATTAGGATGTGAGTATTAGAGTTATAACTTTAACATAACAAAAAAAAAAAAAAAAAAAAACTATAAATAACTATTTATATGCAAAATTACCAGACCGTAAGTATTTAGATGTAAACCTTTTTGAAATCAAATTCTCATTGTTTTAAATAGTGAATAACATCATACATATATAATTATTAGTTCGTATGTATTTAGGATAATACACGCTTTTAGTATTGAATTCTCTTTTAAAAACCATTTTTCAAATAATTCGTAAATTATTAGTTAGTAAGTATTTAAAATTTGTTAAAAACATGCTCAGCAGTCACTGGTGCGAAATCGACCAATCATACTGTGAAAACAGAAATCAAAGTGGTATGTTATATTATATAAGTGACGCCAATTGAAAAAGGAACATTCATTTTTATTGATTATTTATCTGATGATCGACAACACATCGGGCTTTCAATTAAGTTAAACTAATTTCTGTAACCCTTGAAATTGTCGTCTTAGTGAAAGCCCGACAACTTGTCGATCATCAGATAAATGATCAATAAAAACGAAGGTTCCTTTTTCTCTTGGCGTCACTCATATAGAAGTTCTACAAAAAATTTTATAGTAGAATGCGAGAGACATTTTTTGCAGGCAACGTATAGGTCTTAAGATCTGACTGGTCGATCGTGCTCCAGTTAATGTCAGTTAATGACGCTGCAGATAATAAATAGATTTCCCCTCAATTAACTTATGTTTATAAAAAAAAAACTACTAGTATGTAAGTATCACGTTATTAAAAAGCAGATTCATTGATTCAAATGAATGACGCGCTTTACAACCTAAAACATATACCAAAAATGATTAGTGAGTGAGTATTTAGTCAAGTAAATTTTTAAAGCCATAATTTTATTTTAAATAAATCCATGTATGTTTGTGCACCATTATTAGAGAGTGAGTATTTAGAGTGCAACATTTATAAATTCAATAATATCGATATAACTATAAATAATAAATAATCACATATAATATTACTAGGAAGTAAGTATTTTTGATCGTAAATTTTTAAAGCCTACGTTAAATAATAATAATAACATGACTCTAAACAATTACTTTTCATAATTGAAGCCTGTAAGTATTCACAACCACTTTTTAATTCAAAATCAGTTTTAAGAGTTACTTTAATTAATTCACAAAATTGTTAGAGGGTTTGTATTTAAAATTGTGACATTGTGAATTAAAAATTACTAATTGAAAACCAAATAACATGACTATTGAAACAAATTATTAGAGTGTAAGTATTACGAATTTTAAGTTTATGAGCTTGCTAATTTAAAAAATTCATATGCCTGAAATTGCTACAACAGTTTGTGAGTATTTAAAGTTTAGAATCTAAATAATGCTGCAAATACCCAAGCTAATAAATTTCAATTCGTATATTAGAGGGTGTGTATTTAAAGCGACAAGTATTTTTAAATTCAAATTCTCAATTCGAAAAAGTAACACAACACACTATAATACGTATCAGGGAGTAAGTATTTAGAATAATTTATAAAATTGACCCTTTTGCAAATTATAAACGAATAATATAATTCTGAATAACCTGTATATTTTTAGTGAGTGAGTATTTTATGACCATAAACATTACCAGTTACAGTTAGACCTCTCTAAATGCACCTAAGGACCAAATTTTTTAAATGTATCCAGAGAACAATAAAAATTAAAAAAGTGCATTTACGAATAATAAATATTTATTTAGACAGAAATTTGAGTATGCATTTAGAGAGGAAATCTCATTATATTTTAATTCAAATCAATAACCAAAAAATTTTATGCAAATATTAGTATGTGAGTATTTTTGGTTATGTAATATTTTTAAAGTTAAAATTTCATTAATACCAAACAAAATATGACTGAAAATAATAGTCGGTAGGTATTTGTTATTATAAACATTTTAGATAAATAACTTGAACAACTTATTGTATTTATATATCGTTCATATAATCAGAGAGTAAGTATCTGAAGTTATAGAATAATTTCATTAATTCAAGAGTAACATAAGCGTATACAAATTATTAGCCTGTAAGTATTTAAACCCATTTATGTAAAATTAAAAGTCACCTTTAACTAAAACAATGATACATTCACATACATATATAAACAGTCAGTATGTTATCTAAAATTATAAAGATTTTTCAATCAAATTACTTTTTCAGAATATTAACACGTACTTGTATCAACCATATGACAAGGTCGTGAGTACTTATTTAGAGTTATGGACTTTTTTAAGAGCAAAAAATTATTTATATAACTCTAAACAACTCACATATCAGAAAGTAAGTTTATTTATGAACAATTTTAAAATTAAAAATTTTTTAACCCAAAATCATACTTAATTATCTATTATACAAATGTTTCAGGTAAGTATTTAAATGATAAGCTTTTTTTTGAAATAAAAATTCTTTTTAACTTAAAAGGCAAATGACTACACGTTATTAGAGAGTAAGTTCTTAAGATCATAAATATTGTTAAAATTCATGTAAACTCTAAAATAAATGACACATACACAATATTATTAGAGAGTAAGTATTAAATTTTTATAATAAAATATGCAATAATCCAAATAAATAACACAATCCAAATAATTAAAAATTTTTAGTCCGTAAGTGTTAGATTTATGAAATTTTTTAATAAAGCTCTTACTAAATTAGAAGCCAATTATATAATTCTATAAATTACCAGTCTGTGAGTACTAAAAATTTTATCATCAACATGTTATTTAATTTAACCAATATTCTAAACAGTTTACATAATTTAACAATATAACTTAACACTAGTTCGTGAGTAAACATTTTAGATTTATTCACTTTAATTGAGTAATAAAAAATTAACCCTAACAAATCAAATCATATATGCTCGTTATATAATTAGGAAGTATTAGTCATAATTATTTTAAAGGCAAAATTCTCTACTCAAATAAATAATGCAGCATTAAACAATTCACATATATACTGTATACTTAGTCTGTAAGTATTTAAGTCAATATGTTAAATCAAATTTTTCATCTTGATTTAAAAATTAACAATAAGACTCTGAATGATAATCTACGTACATATGTTTTTATTAATTTAAAAATAATTACTTTAAAATTACTAGCCCGTAAGTATTTGAAGCTGCCTACTTTTAATAAATATCGAGTATCCAATTCAGAATAAATTTTATAACCATTTTACAAAATTAGTTCGTGAGTATTTAGAATCACAAACATATTAATAAAAACTCTCATTAACAACACTAAAATTCACAAAAATACGTCATATTACTAGGGAGTAAGTGTTCACAAATTTTTAAGTTCATATTTATTAAAGTGAATAATTATTAAAATACTTTATAGACATATGAGTTCGTGAGTATTTGAAGTCATTTAAAATAATTATAGTTTAAAAAATAAAAAATAAGAAAAACCACTCAAACAATCCAAATGCAATTACCAGTTTGTGAGTATTATTGTTATGCATCCTTAAAATCAAACCCTTATTCAATAGCAAATGATATATCTTCAAATAATCGTATATGCTAATATTGGCAGTTCGTGAGTATTTAAAATCAATCAAATTCCTTTTAATTGAAGCAACACAATACTGAACAATCCACA